ATAAAAACACAAATGCTTACTGTTGAGCACTGATTTTAATCTTGTTTTCACTACAGGAGGAAAGGGTCTGGGGGCAAATGTAAACTGTGCTAATAATTCACTACAGGAGGAAAGGGTCTGGGGGCAAATGTAAGTTGTGCTAATAATTGATAAAGCCATAAGTTCTGTTTGCAAGGGCCAACCAAGAGGGCCACAGTGTCCCTGAAAAGATGGAAACATTCCAAAGCTGGTTTCCTGAAAGATTCATCTTAAAGTACATAGGACTGGTTATTTCTCAAAATAAAACATTCAGACTTTTCTGTTGACTGAATTGTTGTTTAAGTAGAACCAATTAATTTTGAAATTTTACTTGTGCCAGCTTTTACTTTGCTTGCCAATAACTAATCGCATTGTTTCCTTATTTTTGTTTTTAATACCAACAATCAGTTTTTGTATTTTAAAAAGCCACTTTGGGATACTGAAGTTTTAAGCCAAGACTATTTAGTTGATTGGCTCAGTAAGTAGGTTGCTGGAGAAGTCAACCATTCTTTCTGGCATACCTTCAAACATAAATGAGATATATGTTTTCCAAAGATGGAAAAATTCTATTTTGATTAATTAACAGATTTTGTAATAAGATGTAGCTTATATCATAGTCACTTTTATACTTAAAATACTGTATTGTTGGCATCTGGAATCTCATTGGTAAACAATATAAACATATTGTTTTTAGCACATTAAATTTCAGATTTCTTGGATTGTCATTGGACGTTTCTGATGGTGTACTATTAAATCATTATATCCCCACAGAGAGTATATTGAGGTAGAAAGATGAATCATGTGGTTCAGACAGAGGTAAGCCAGACAGACCCCTATAGCAGTAGGCTATATCGTACAGCCTAGGTGTGTAGTAGGCTATATCACATAGGTTTGATCAATGATTATCATTGGGTCTTGTGTGAATTAAATGTAAAGAACCCAACAGAATACCAGAATCATAAAGTATATTCAACAAATGGATGCAATCATCATTTTTAACTACGTAATGGCAGAGACAGCCACCCATAGTAAGGAGTCACTTTTGCCCAGGTCTCTTCATTTGAGATTTGTTGTATGGAGGGAAACCCACGTAGTGTGTTACACAACCCTATTGAGTTGACTTTAAACATCTTTCTTGTCCTCTCCAGTAGCAGTACATCCATAACTACTTCCCAACCCTCAGTGGCCAAGGTTGGAATGCACTCAGATACAAGTTTGGAGTGAGGTCACTAGCTCTTCTCTGGCCAAAAAGAAGAGGGTTCTTCTACTGTTAATAACTAAGAGGTCATGAGGGAAATAGCCCTGATGGGGTCCGAGTCTTGCAGAAATACTACCTTAGTATTCACTGCCTTTTAAATATATATATATGTATTTTTATATATTATATATAATATATATTAAATATATATATATATATCATTTACTTACTAATGATTCTGTCTGTAGATTGCTTTCATCTGCATTTGCTCTTCTAATTTCACCACTTTCTTACTGAAAAATAGCAAGCCAGATGCAACATGCCTTCTTGTGCCATTTCAGTAATAATTATTCATTGGCAACAGGTGATGTGTTCAAAATAACATCAAATGAAGTGTTTGACTTTTTCTTTTTTTGTGTAATTTTGGTTATAATAATATGTATAAATTATGTTATAATAATATTCCATCTGCTCCCCTCAAAAATGTGGGAACAACTGAGACTGAAAACACATAAACCCACTTAGAAACTTGTGTGCATATATTCAGGCCAGTTAAATCATGCCAGGGAAAAATATGTGATTGCAATAGAAAGATTTGTGCTTCTGTTATTCATCAATTTTATATCTCATTCCTTGAGAACTTTGCTATGTTAAGTGAGCCCCAACTCACCCTGCCTGGTTATACCCATTTGGGTAGGAAGAGGAAGGGTATGGTCTGACTTGGAAACAAAACACGCCAGAATCACTAGAAGCACTTCTCCCATGTAAGGACCTGGATTCCCAATCTGTTTCTCTCCCTTCCAGGGTCTGTGATCTCCTCTTTTCAGCCTTCAACTTTCTATTTAATGAGCTTGAGCTCATTGTATGTCATCATCATCACAACCAACAGTAGTAGTAATAACAACAACCTCTGCAGACACCATTTAAGGAGGACTGATTCTGGGTCAGGCACCATAATGAATGGTTTATATAGTCCATTTAGTTATCTCAGCAACTGTATAAGTTGTATGGAGTCACTTTTCAAAAGAGGAGAGGGAGACTCAGATAAATGAAGTGACTTGTCCAAGGTCACACAACTAGCAAGTATCAGAAGTGGCATTTGAATCCAGTTTCTCTGGCTGAAAATCCTATACTCTAGGGAATCAATCCAGAATTCCAGTGTTTTCCTGAAACTATATGTTTTTGTTTTTAAGCTGGTGGGATCCACAGTGTAAGTTGGAACCCATTCTTGTGCAGTTTTCCTGTATTCCAGGTGTTAACTTTTCTTATTCTTCACTCCCTTCTCACAGGTTCCAATTCCTGCTCCCATAAACAAATAATATAGCCAACACTTCATGTTGAATCCTTATATTTTTAAGGAAAAATAATTTATATTTGTCAGAACTGATAACATGATTGATGCATAAGCAATTTGATTCACAAATCTTTAAATTGTCTTGGCAAGCAACATATGAAAAATCCAAGAGGAAATAGAAGTTTAATCAGCTTGTGTTCGAATAAAATTATTTAATCAGGTTAACATGACTTTCAGATGATGATTTCAACAGCAGTGTATTGCAAGCTGTCCAAATATGTATTTTGATATATTTTTCTAACACTATTATTAGTTTTTATTTTATATCGAGGAAAGATATGATATAGCAAAAGCAATCTAAAATTATTTTTAACTTCACAAATGATACAGTTTGAAAACTAAGTCAAATAAGCCATTTTCTCCAGCGTTCTTTGAGTATTGTTAAAGCACATATAATATCCACTAACAGGAAAAACAAGTCAAATAGCTTAACTTCTAAACTGTATCAGAACAATGGGTTTTTGACAACCTAATTGCAAGCTTTGTGTTAAAAAATGGGTGAAATAGGGAAATAATTTTTTGAAATAATGTTTAAGGAGAAATTACTAATACTACCAGCTCTATAAAGATATTTTAAAGCTATACTTACTAAAAAGTATAATATCACCAAACTAGACAGAGAATTGAGTGGAACAGCCTGAGTTACCAATGGAAAAGAGAAGAATTATTTAATAAATCATGTTTAGATAACTGATTTTAAAAATACATGTAATGAATGGCAGTGTAGTAGTATAGGTCTTAAAGTTAACAGGATAGATTTCGAAGTCTAGTATATTTGAATGAAAACACAAACTCTATCATGTATTAACTTATGCAGGTCAGTCAGTTTTTTCTAATGTTCAATTGCCTTCAAATTCCTTATGTTCAGTCTCCTTAAAATGAAGATAAAACATACTTCCTAGAGTTAGTATGATTATTAATAAACTAATATTTGTATAAATAGCTGGCATATTAGTCATGATAAACTGAATTTTTGGACCTTATATGAAGTATTAATATCTATAGCTCAATATGAATTGCTTGAAGACATTGTTTATTTAAGCATCAATTTTCTTAGAAACCATAGCTACCCATGCATTATGTGACAAGCCTGTTGAACTGCTCTACACAATAGGGTGGTAACTATAAGCATGTGGCAAGATCTGTAATTTCACTTTGAATTCTAATGTTGCTTTGCAGTATGGAAAGCTAAAGTTAACCATTTGTAGCTCAATTTCATATTAGGTTTATTAGTGCCTAAAAGTTTAAAGTTGAAATGCTTACCAATGCATTAACAGCTATAATCAATCAATTCCCATCCCATATCTTTGACAGTATTAGCTTGTTTTATGTAGAATAATATAGTTTTTAGTGCAGCATAAATAATATAATTCATACTAATGGCATATTAGAGGGATATATAAAATTTTTACCCATATATTTTGCAGTCTCAAAAATGTGAATAAGATCTAATGTTGATGAAGAAACAAGAAATCAATTTGTAAAATAAATGCTAAAGGATTTTACGCAGGGATTATAATTAACATTTTTGTACTTGCAACCCCACGTAATAAAGTACACTGCATGTGGGAGGAAAAAAATATGTAAGTTCTGAATGAACATGCTTCTTTGAAAACAGAACTTAAGCCTACAATGTAGACTTTGTTAAAGGTCATAGAAAATCCAGCTGTCGGGCTGGGCGCAGTGGCTCATGTCTATAATCCCAGCACTTTGGGAGGCCAAGGTGGATGGATCACCTGAGGTCAGGAGCTCGAGACCAGCCTGGCCAACATGGTGAAAACCCCATCTCTACTAAAAATACAAAAATTAGCCAGGTGTGGTGGCAGGCACAATTCAGATCCAAAGTCTGAATTGTAAACATTGTACCCAGTAGGTGATTTCTCAATCTTCGCCTCTCTCTCCCACCCTCCCCCATTTTGGAGTACCCACTCACTTAACTTTTGGCTTTGGAATGATTTCTAAACCACAATGATCTTGTTTCAGAGCAGTCAGGGGATTCTCCCAAATGTTTTGCATTACAGTGAAACTGAAGAGTAACCTACAGACAGCTTTTTGGAATAACTAGCTACCGAGTTGTACTTCAAGGAAAATGTTCAGTGCAGTATCCTGAATTTAGATTCAGACAGAGTTTTAAATAGTTTTATTTAAAAATTGGCAGGGGAAAACCCATAATTTGAATAATAGAGTCTCTTAAATTCAGTCTGAATTGGACTGCTTGCATTGGTCTGTCAGGCGATAACTAAATTTCCCTTTCAGGTGGTCCTGTTGAAACAGAACCATAAAATGGCTGTGATATTACTTGTCCAACATGAGAAAGAAATCAGCGTTTTATTTACATTTGATCCCTGTTTCAATACACAAAAGCAACTCCAAAGTGAATGGTTTGAGATTTAAGGTTTGCTTACCTCTTCCCAACCCTTTGGCTTTTAGATTTGCTTGGAACTGTAGAAGAAATCCTTCCAAGCCTCTCAGAAAATATCAGCGTTTGGGGGATGAAAGATTCAGTTCCACAAGGCATAATTTCACTCAAAGAAAAACTGAGCACCTCATCTGATGAGCCCGTGCCACGCAGCCGCCATGTTGTCTCACTCCTCAAGTCTACTTGTCTTTACATTTTTACCTCTGGAACAACAGGTATGATCCAATTATTCTGAAGGCTAAAATGAATGCGACAAATTTGCAAAGCAATGGTGTTGGGCAAATTTCTACCATAGGTAGTGACCAACCATCTGAGAACGCATGCTTGCAAGAAGATGTAAGGATCTCAGATGCTAGAACTTTTCAACTTGAATGGAAAGTTAATTATTTTAACTTATACTTGAAAAGTCATCTTGTTCGTTTGGCGTTTGTCCCATTTGACAATATTTTCTTAAAGTTTGGTAGTACAAAGGGCACGGGAGTGTCCAAACACCCTGATCCAGTCTCATTGCTCAGTGTATGATACTTGACTTTTCAGGCAAGATCTTTGTTAGCTTCTCTGATCCTTAAATTTGTGATATCTAAAATGAAGAAATTAGTTTAAATAGTTTCTACTGATTCTTTTGGATTTAAAAAGTGTTTTAATGTACTTGAAAACAGTTCTCTATATTCCTGTGTAAATTATTAAATCCTAAGCATAATCCAGGTATAGCTGCAATTTAGGCACCTGTCGCTGACTCTCCTGATTTTGGTTAGGGTAATTGAATTATATGACAAACAAGAAATCTTGAAGGCATTGCAAGTTTGGACAAAGATACAGCATAAAATCAAGTAAATAAACTTTATTTTATGTAAACAGCAGCAATAACAAAGAATAATAAAACTGCCTGAGAATTCAAAAGAAGGGCCTGGCACAGTGACTCACACCTATAATCACATATTTTGGGGGCCAAGGCAGGAGGATTACTTGAGACCAAGTGTTTGAGGCCAGCCTGGGCAACATAGTGAGACCCCATATCTAAAAAAAAAAAAAATAGCCAGGTGTGGTGGCATGCACCTGTAATACCAGCTACTCAGGAGGCTAAGGCAGGATAATCATTCTATCCCAGAAGTTCGGGATTATAGTGAGCCGATTGCACCACTGCACTCCAGCCTGGGCAACAGAGTGAGACTCAGTCTTAAGAAAGAAGAGAAAGAGAATTCAAAAGATATGTTAAACTTAATTGATTTCTAGGAAAAACTGAGTGGTATTAATGGTAGCCTAAATAGGCTTTCATTATTAGTTTGAAGATGATTGGTGATTTGACTTAGACATATTAAGAGTATTCTGTTACTTATTTCTTGTGCATAGGTTGTAAGCAACTATTGCATAGTAAAATTTTTCTTACATTTTAAAAATCTATTCAGTTCCTAATTGTAATCCCTTTTAGACTGGAGAATAGGATGTATTTTATTTTTTTATTTTTTTTACTATGATTAGAACAGCTTTGATAAATGAACTGAAAACTGCTAATATGTGTGTGGCTACTCTGTCCAGACTCAGGGAGCTTCTTTCTGAGATTCTTCAGGCTACCTAAACAGATCTACTGAATAATTACAGGTCTAGAAGTTCGCAGATTGAGCAGATACACAGTCCCTTAGGACAAAAAGAATGGAACTAGAGATGACAGCTACAAAATTTTAGAAAAGGAGATGATGACTGAGTGTGGTGGCAGATACTGCAGACCCAAGAAGCTGAAGCTTATGGTAAAGCCTTGAAGAAAACTCATTTGCCCCCACCAAACCCCAGAAAGGCTCAGAAGTTGGGTACCAGGTACCTCAAAGAGCAGAAAATAAATGTGGAAATTTTATGGGAAGTTTGTTTAAGAAGGAACTGTAGTCCTGGATTGCTTCTTCCACCCTGATAGAAGTCCTGAGGTGTATTCTCTGGAAAAGATGAACTTCTGAAAATACCAGGAAGAACAGGGGTTTAAAAAGTAGGGGATATAAGAGAACATCTCCCTCTCTGTAAATATGTGTATATGTATATGTGTATACATATATATATAAGTTCTCTTTAATATATGTAACTTCTTTTAACACTTGACTGTTTTAATCATTAAGATTCTTGTCTGAGGAATCTGAATAGCCCATGTGTAAAAATTGAAAGACACTGATCATGATGGATTCCCCCAACAGAATGTTCTGGACAGTGAAACCAACTAGTAAATACGTGTTCTTCAGGCACAGAGATTCTAGTTAATGTTTTGCTTGTTTATTTTGTGTTTTTGTGTCTGCACTTTTAAACATAAACTGATAGTCAATAGTCTCCAGATATTTGAAAAAATCCTCCTGAATATATTCTAGATTAGATTGAGACCAATACAAACCAAAGATAAAAAGGATGTTGGAGAAAACTGACAAGATAGAGAGGAGAAATTTTCAAAAAATTGTTATTGCTAATATTCTGAAAGATGGGGACAAAAAGGGTCAATAATATAAAAATAACATACTACAAAAAGAGGAATATTCAGGGAACACAAGTGTTGGAAAATAAATCTCTCAAAAAGTGAAGCAAAAGGTAAGAGTAGAAAAATAGGATAGACAAGATTAGGAAATTAGTGATTCTGTCCAGGCGGGCTATTTTTAAAAAAATCAAGAGTTCTAAAGATGAAAGGATGAACACACAAATAAATGTAACAAAAAAAAGCAATGGGGGAAAAAAAAAAAAAACAGAAATAATGAAGGAACAAGAAGAAGGGGATGTGAATTTTTTTTTTTTTCAAATTCAAAAATATCTAGAACTGTAAGACCTGAGTTGTCAGACTGAAAAGGTCTACAAATTTCCCAGCGAAATGGATAGATGAGACTGGTCCCAGTACAAGTCATCATGATATTATAGACTACTGAAAACTAATAGAAGATTCCAAAAATGAAATAATAGAAATACCATGTTGCATCCAAAGCATAAGAAATCAGAAAGACTGATAATTGCTCAACATATATAATGGAAGTCAGAAGATTATAGAGCAATGCCTTCAAAGTCCTGCATAAAAATAATTTCTTACCTAGAATTCTTTACAAGCAGCCATTCAAGTGTATGGGTGGAAAAAAAAGACATATTCAGACACATGAGGACTCACAAAAACTTACCTCCCAAATATTCTTTATCAGATAGCTACTGAAACCAAATGTGTACTACCACTGTAATTAATTTCTAGAATCTTAGATCTATACAGAAAGGCCAACTATAAAATTACATAGTGTTTGAAATACAGTCCTACTTAGCAACCTGTCAAAGGAGCGTTGCTAAAGTCAGAATGGCCTCTTTTACAAAGCAGATAGACTATGATATATTTTGTGTCAATTGCTAGTGTAGTTGTTATCAGCATCATCTTCCTTTCTATTACTTCCTTTCTAGTTATATGAATATGTATGCATATGTATATGTATGTATGTGTGTATATATGTTTCCCATTCTTTTCTTTTCTTCCAGGTCTACCAAAAGCAGCTGTGATTAGTCAGCTGCAGGCTTTAAGGGGTTCTGCTGTCCTGTGGGCTTTTGGTTGTACTGCTGATGACATTGTTTATATAACCCTTCCTCTGTATCATAGTTCAGCAGCTATCCTGGGAATTTCTGGATGTGTTGAGTTGGGTAAGGCTTTATTTTCTTTTTGGTAAGTTTTCAAAATGCCTAATAATTAGAACAAGTGTTTATTAACATTTGAAGCTTTATTGGTAGAATTTAGAGTGATTATATGCATATTATTTTATTATAACAATATTTATTTTAAAAAAACACACAATTTTATGGCATATTCAGTGTTTTCCTGAGGTGAAAAGAACAGTTTTCTGAGGATTTGGCCATGTAGCTGGAGCTGGCTATTGGCTGGGCTTCTCCCTCCTTGTGGTCACTCACCCTCAAACAATCTAGCCCCAGATTCCTCAAATGGTGTAGAAATGTTCCAAGGGAGTGAGTATGGAAGCTGCATACTTAAGGCCTACTCTGGAAAGTCACATAGGTTATTTCACCTTCATTCCATCGATCAGAGCAAGTCATGGGCCAGCCTAGATTCAAGATTCCAGGAGAAATAGAAGCCACCTCTTGAAGGGAGAAGGAGCAAATTTACATTGCAAAAGTAAGAGCCTTGAAGAAATTGCTGAGGCCATCTTTGCAAACAATCTGCCATAGACACTCAATAAATTAGTTGGTAGAGCTCGTGACTCAGTAGATTCCATTCATAAACATGCAAGATTATGTGTCAGTTTCTAGACGTCACATAATATACAAACAGTGGAGGTTATTTGCTACTTGTATTTGTCTAAAATGCTGTAATTTTTAGAATAGAATATTTAGAATATTATCAATATCCACCATAAATAAAGATGAAGGTCAAGACATTAAAATCTTCACTGGACATACATTGTTGTGAAAACTAGGTTCTGCAGTCATTTAAGAACTGTTTTGTTAGTACTATCTTGCCAATTCAACCTTACTAACAGTTGACTGCAAGATATGTTGAGACTGCTTTAAAGTTTTAAAAATGAATAATATGTATACATTCAAATTCAAAAGTAAATGAATATTCTTGGCTTCTATGAAGAAGGATGACTCTTATCAATAGCGATGCTCTAATACTTTAACTCTTTTACTTATTTTGACTGTTGCTTTTGTCCTGTGTATTGCAGAAAGCATATAGAATTACAAAAATATAGAATAAAAAATAGAATTAAAAAATATAGAATTACAATATTTTTAACAGAGTTTTTGGACAATAAAATCAGTGTTTCCAAATGAGTTTGATACAAATTACTGACGATGAGTTATTAAAGTTTTAAAATGAGCAAACATATTCTAGACAGAAAAACATAATTTATGTTTTATGTTCATTCTGCCCTTGAATTTTTTTCCCTAGTGCCTGTTTTTGTCTTTTCTTATAGGTGCCACTTGTGTGTTAAAGAAGAAATTCTCAGCAAGCCAGTTTTGGAATGACTGCAAGAAGTATGATGTGACTGTGTTTCAGTATATTGGAGAACTTTGTCGCTACCTTTGCAAACAATCTACGGTAGGTGTAATCATTATCAGAAAAAAATATGTCAGAAAGAATAAGTATTAAGATAGAAAAAGTTATTTTTATTTCTTTGTTTATACTCTACCTTTGTTACTGGTGGGTCTTTGTTCTTAGAGCTCCCAAGATGGTGGCAGGCTGCTCCCAAGATGGTGGCAAGCCTTCTGTTCTCTCTCCTGGGGTTCTTGGCCTCACAGATTCCAAGGAATGGAACTCTGGGCCATGCAGTGGGTGTCATAGCTCTATTAGAAGCCATGGGTCATGGAAGAGAACCCTGGAACCCAGCGACTAGTGTTCAGCTCAATTAGGACGAACCCCGTCACTTAGCAGCGCAGAAACAATGGTGAGCCTCTAGCCCCATGGGGAGCAGCAATGGGCACCTTGCTAGATTAGAAGCACAGCAGACACCCTGCGGGATCCAGAGGGGTAGAAGTCAGCAGCGGGTCTGCCACTGCGGCAACCACCAGTGGTGGATGGTGAGCGAAAACTCAGTTTGAGTCAGAATAAACGCGGACCAGAAGAGTGTGCAGTTGCAAGATTTAATAGAGTGAAACAGAGCTCCCATACAAGAGGGGACCCAAAGCAGGTTGCCACTGCCAGCTCGAATGGCTGGGATTTTATCCAGATCTTTGTCCCTCCCTCTGTGCTCTCAGGCAATAGATGATTGACTATTTCTTTACCACCTGCTTTTAGCCTAATTGGTATTTTAGTGAGCTCTCTTTACTACTTGCTTGTTCAGGTGTGAGCTGAGTTACAAGCCCGGTGTTTAAAGGTGGGTGCAGTCACCTTCCCCAGCTAGGCTTAGGAATTCTTAGTTAGCCTAGGAAATACAGCTAGTCCTGTCTCTCACCTTCTTTCAGAACATAGTTTAGCTGACTTACAAAGATGCATGCAATACCCCAAGATAAAATAAGACAAGTGAAAGAAAATAAACAGACAGCTATCCAAGAATGTACTAATGTGCTTTTTACTGTAGCAAGATAGGACAGACCCAAAGACTTTGTGTTTAGACTAATTAAAATTTCTATAAACATAACATGCAGCAGATTATGAAATTAGATTCATGCTATGTTTACGGAAAGCAATTATTCTAAGGTTAAAATAATCTTTTAAAATGCTGTTCTTTAAAAAAATAACTACTGACCACTGACACTGATTATAATTTATTTTCTATTTTTTCTTTTGAGTAAGTGATTATATTAGGACTTTTTTTTGGTTTTACTTTAAATTTAAAAAAAAAAAACACCTCATATTGCTTTGATTTGCACTTGTCTCCTTACCTGAAGAAGTCATTTCCACATTCTTTTGATCAACTGCCACCATCTGAAAAATAGAGAAGCAGAGACAGTTGCAATAGCCTGAAGTTTATCTTTATCGGTTCATTTTTTTTTTGCCCTCAGAAGTTATTTTCTGTTTCCTGGTTTCATTTATATCTCTAAATGCTTCTTCTTTAACTTTATGATTTTCTAAACATTCTTGAGACTATAAAGAAGTGACTTTCTTTAATCAAATTTATTTAATTCTTTAATTATATTATTTTATTATTTATTATTATAAATAATTCATCTTTAGTTATCTGATTATTTTACAAATAAAATCCGCATCGGCCCCTTCAAGAATGACAGTAGAGTAGGATATTGCCCTGCGTGGGGTGGGGCAACAGAACCTTGGTCTTTGAGACCCACCTTTCCTAGACTAGAGGATCTCTCACTTATCACCTCTGCCATCATCACACCTACTTAAGGCATGAATGGTGTGCTGGGGTATCTTCTCTTCTTCTCTTTGGCTAAAATCTAGACATGTAATTTTTCAGTTACCCAGAGCACAGCTGACACTAGGTTGGAGGCATTTAAATAAGACTTTTTAAAGATACGAGATTACATAGGGAAGATGGACACACAAAAAAATGTGAAATTGGATAATCTGATGTACAAATTGCTTTGATTTATTTTGAGCTTGGAGTTTACCAAGGAGAAACCTCCAGTCGAGCTTCTGACCCACCTCCGTGTGGCAGAAGCCATTCTTACTCATTTTTTGTCTGGAGTGCTTCAAATAACTATAGATTCCATAGATTCATAGCCAAGACAAAGAGTTTCAGATAATTGTTTTACATTTTTTGAATTTTTTTCTCTTCAAGGAGACCTTACTTCAGATAAGGGATGTAGTCTTAACCTAAAGAACCCCAGTAATACACTTAGAATGCCATAACCTCACATATTTTCTCTTCTAGTTTTCGTTGTACTTTTTGGTAATGTGATATCTGGAGTAGGTTAATTTAGGGAATTAATGCCCTCCAGTAAGATTAAGGTCACCTTCAGATGAGATTTCATGACTTTAGTACAGAATACAGTAGGTGCTACCTAGTGAAGCTCATCTGTTTTCTAAACTACATGCTCCACCATTCCTGTTTCCTGTCAGCCATTAATGGTGACATTAGTTTGTGTAATGTCATTGATCAGTAAATATTTATCGAATGGTTGAATACATGGATTTACTTATTTCTAAAATTTACCAACTTAAATAATGCTGCATTTAGTGTCTTCATGCAATTGAGCTAATTTAGGTTTTCAGAAGTGAATGTAAATAGCCAAAGTATATGGATGCTTCTGCGATTTTTAGAAAATATTTCTAAATTGCTCTTCACAGTGGTTGAAGTGATTTAGAATCTCATGCACATTGTAGGAGTATGCCTGTTGCACAGTGTCTGTCAGTACTGGGTGTTATTAAAAATAGTGGTTTTCCAGTTGTGCTTCTTGGAAAATTAGAAGCTCTTTTAAGCTCCCTCAAAAGTTCCTGAAACATGGTGAGTCAGAGTAAAAGCAGGCCAATTTCCAAGGCCCACCCTTTCAAATATCATGAATTAAACCCAATTTCCTGAGCACCTCAATAATACTTTGTTTGAACAAAGGATGCCTCAGTGGTTTTTAATTAGAGAAGTAAATTTGAGTATTTACTTTTGTTTATAATTGTATAGACTAGACACAAACATATATTAATGTGCTCTGTTAAGATTGCTGGCAAGGCGGGAGAGTTTTCCAGCTGTATTTCCCTTTTAAAAATATCTCTTTTGTGTCTTGTACTCATTTATTTCTTTGGTACATAATGTTTTACCTTATCCATTTGAACTTCCACTTCATATAATAAAGATATTAATAGTTTTTCATATTGGTTACAAATCTTTTCTCAGTGTTTTCCTTTAAATTTTTTAATGAAATGAAATATTCTTTTTAACTCTCTGAATCTGTATTGCACTGATTTGGAGAAAAGATTATAGCTTCAGAGAATTAGAACTGAGCATTGAAAACAGAATACCTGATTGCTTTTTAATTAATTTAATTTTTAGGGGTGGGCATGGTGATTCATGCCTGTAATCCCAGCACTTTGGGAGGCCAAGGTGGGCAGATCACTTGAGGTCAGGAGTTTGAGGTCAGCCTGGTCAATATGGGGAAACCATCTCTACTAAAAATACAAAATTAATATTATTTAAATACAAAAATACAATATGGGGAAATTATCTCTACTAAAAATACAAAAATTAGCCGGGCATGGTGGCAACCACCTGTAATCCCAGCTACCCAGGAGGCTGAGGCAGGAGAATTGCTTAAACCCATGAGATGGAGGTTGTGTGAGCCGAGATTGTGCCACTGTACTCCAGCCTGGGTGACAGAGCAAGACTCTGACTCAAAAAATAATAATAATTTAATTTTTAATTTTAATTTTTGACTAAATCTCTTTGAAGAAAAAATGATGTTTATGAAATAATCTGCAAATGCTTACCTGAATGCAAACTGAGGAAGAAAGAAGGAAATATATATATCTTTACCCAAAGGAAAACTTAACATTTTTTTTTAAGCAGAGAAGCATTGTACTAGCTAATCCCCTTTGTTGACCTCACACAAAATGAGTACAAGCTGTTCTTGGCATTAAAAATTAGGAAAAGGAGAAAGTCATTCTGTTATGACATCTTTTCCCTTCAAGGAGATCTTACATTTTTGCTGTCCAATATTCCTTTCAATGACATTCCCTTGAAAGGAAGGCACAGTTTCTGCTGCACAGCCAGCACATCAGTGGATTCAGGTAGAGCCAGAGAATGAACACATGACATGGTCCTGGTCCTCACCTTCAAAGAATTAAAATGGAATGTCTCATAAGCCATGGTTTGAAGCCCCACAGACAGTTATTTAAAAGAAAGCAAAACCATGTGTTTTTAAAACAGATTCAGATTTGTTGACAATCTCAGGGTAAGTAGCATATTCCAAAGGAAATTTACCTGCAGGCAGAAGTCACAGTGTGAGTTCAATGTTTATGTGTAGCTGCACAAAGACTCCCTAGGGTTGGTTTTCTCTGGCCAGAAGCATTTATCCATTCCCGTCTCTCAAACACGCACCCCATCCCTCACTGCTTTTCTTTTTCGCAACTCCAGTTACAAAAGTTATTTTGGCATAAATATTAGATGTACTTCTTTAAAACTGCTGGCAGCAGCGTTATCCAGAAAAAGAGACTGACTCCTGTTAGTCATGGTGAGATGAAGTTGTTCTTCTCTTCCCCTGAGACTAGGAAAGCAGCTCTCCCTCACTTTTAATCTACCAAGTTTTCTAGGTTACTAAAGCACCATCGTACAATCTGATTGGGTCTAGTTCTGTATTAATATTAATGTTGTCTTTAACATTGATTGGTGAGGAATGTGTTGGAACTGTAGACATCAGTAATCTTCCTGGGGAGTCTTGCTGCAGAGTTTGTCTTATATAAATAATTCTTCCTAACACAGTCAACAGTTAGCCATATCTAGGGATATATCTAGGGATAGCACCTTATATGTAACATATTCATTTACTCATTCATTCAAGTAATATTATAGGATTAGATATACAGGGACACGCAGGACAAATCAAACTGCTTCTCTCATGGAATTTATACTCTCTTTGATGAGGGGGAGAGAAAATAAACCCAGCAAACACAGAGGAAAAGTAATTACAGACAATGGCAAGTGTTATGAA